GTGGCTTATTGGTAGCCCCTGTCCTGGATACATCTGTCTATTATGTCTTTTGTTATTTTTCTCTCAAATTAATTTTGCACTTCCATTTTCATTCATTTTTATGCATATGCTTAATCATCTTCATCCTCAGATTTTCCATTAATATCCAAAATATCCATCTTTAGCAAAATATAGATGAAAAAATATGTAATAAACAGATGTTTTGGCCACAACCAACCAAAATAGCAGGAACAGGAGACTAATTATATTTTTATAATTTTATCTTTCTAAATTAAAGTACTGAAATAAATAATATGATATTGTGCTTTATCCAGAGACAACTGATAGTAGCAGTAATTTGGATGTCTGTCGTACTGGTTGTTTAATTAAAAAATATTTTAAATATGCTTTTATTTATTTGAATAGGAAATATATTATTTCCTAAAGGCTAAAAAACAAAGATGGTTTATGAAAAGAAAAACGGCAAAAAAACCAACCTGCTACCATAAGATGCTAAACTAATTCAGCATTATGATTAAAAGCGGAATTACGGTAGTTTAGTAATGACGTTCATCATTAATGGATTTTATTTGAAAATATATATATATTTTTATTCAATATATCTCAGTAGTGGTGTTATTGATCTGATTTAAGTGAATGTGACAGAAACGTTTAGCAGAAACATAACAGTAAACAGTGAATCTGAGGGATTTGAACTCTTATCATTTAGTTGACCTACAGTAAAAACACATGCTCTTCTTCCTGGCATGAATGAAGCCTAAATTATTGTGAATTTGAACAGTTTTCTCCTCTGGGGTATAACCTAACGATAACCTAAACCAGCCAAGTGAGTATTAAAAACAAGAAATGCATCCCAGATTTTAATTTGTTTTTGATTTTCTCCATGCAGGCGGTTAAAATTGTACATACAGATTCAACTTTTTGCCAAGTTGCACCCACGCCTGAAGCCAGATTTTCTGGAACCATCCACAACTTCCTGGCATGTTTCTCATTGGATCTTTGACCACTTTTCTCATTGGAAATTATGCTGGATGTCTAATTTGAACCTTCTTTTAATTGCAGACCTCAAATATTCTGTTTGTTTTAATTTCAAACCTACTTTTAATATGTTTAAAATCATTTTCTCTCTCATTTAAAAATGAAATTGGATATAGTGTAATGCAGAAGGTTAAAAAAAAACCCTCAAAGGTCCAAGCAAATGCCTTCTGGGGAAAGAAATCTACATGAAAAGATGCATTGTGTAGGGAAAAGAATCAAAGCTTAATAAAATCCAAAGGCTTTCTGTTTGTTTGGTTTAAAATTAAAAGCTGCAATCTTAATTATCCAGACGGTCACTGAAAAAAAACCCAACCATACCATAACCATAAATTTACTTAAAACAGACTTACTGAGAGACATTTACCCAAATATTAGTATTAATGTATTTATAAGCAACCTTTGAACCCTGCCCTTAAAAAGCTTTCTCTGCATTATTAAATGAATTAGATCTTAGTGTCATGGTTAGTTTATTTAAAAATAGAAGACGGAAAAATGCTAATGTAAAAACTATAGTGAGGGTTTAGGATAACGATATGAATTGAAATATTAGAATGAGTTGATCATTTATTTTCAGCCATTTTCCAGGAATTACAATGAATAAGAATATAATAATAATTAAAAAACCTAGTTTCTTTCAGTAATTCAATTTCCTCACAAAAAAAATACAGATATTTCCCCCCCTAAATTACACAAAAATCATTATGTGCTTTAGAGTTACCAAGTCTTTGGAAAATCTGATCCCATAATGTAATTTGATGTTGGTGCTACTACATATTTAAAACATCCTGGGAAGAGAAGGATTGGAGTCGGTCATTCCCGATCTACACAATCATGCCTCCCCAATAGAGGGGCATCAGAAAGGTCATAGTCAAAGAGGCTGGGTGCCATTGTAGTTACCAGATCTGCTCGGGACCCTGCCCCTTATGATGATGTCATCAAATGGCAAAACCACTCGGACAAACTGTAATGCACCCGTTTCATAAGAATCAGATCTCTTCTTGAGTCTCGGCATATTATTACCTGTATTTGCTATTATTTTATGTTTTGTTGGCAGTCTAAACTAGCCAAAAGTAGAATAATCATTCTGAGTCTCCAAGTAAAGTATAGTGCTCTAAGACAGACTGAGACTGATTCATTTTAATAACATGTGAGGGCACAGCAGGACAAATGGAATGTTTTACAAATTACCTTTTCTTGAGATTTCAGACAAAGAAAACACCAGCTATTCTACTTGTAGAAAATGAACCGTTGTTGTTAAAACTAAGTTAAAAGAAGTGTAACTTAATGTGGCTAACTGACCAAGTTAAGGCTACGTTCACACAGCAGCCTGAAGTGACCCAAATCCGATTTTTTGGCCCATATGTGGCCAAGTCGCATTCATCCGACCTGAATGCCATTAATACCCGACACTCAATACCCGCTCACTATTCTGGGTTTTGCTACACAGAAGCGGCAAGTAAAACAACAACCATGGCAGACGATGATGTGGAGAGCAGTATTTATGTTTAACCATTTTAAAAAGATTGTGTTTTTATGGTTGGGAAAGACCACTAGATGCGGTTCGGCACTACCATCCATGCTTGCTTCAGTAGAGCGCCCTGGCCTGTGACGTCATTGCGTCCTCTACTGCGTACTTGCGTTGTATGAATGCAGTTCACACAGGGAGATCACATAGAAGTTGCATATATTTGGAAATGTAAACAGCAACGCAAAGAAAATCGGATAAAAAAAAAAATCGGAATTGAGCATCAAGGCCTGCAGTGTGAACGTAGCCTAAAAGAGGCTAACCTGTTAGCTACCGAGCACAGCGCTACCCAGCTCTCCCCCTTTATATCATGGTCCTACAGTTACTTTGTTCACCATAAACAGGTATTTTTCAGCTTTTTTTTATTTTTTATTAATCAGTTAAAACGTAATCGGTCATTAGACATGCTAAAACTACAGATGCTCCCGAATCGGTACACAGACTCTGCATTATGTTATTATCTTTGCCTGGGGAACCACAATGTTTTACGTCAAGGGGCAATGTTCAGCCAATCATTTAGCATAATGTCAGGGTCCAAGCAGATTTGGTTCCCTACACCGTACCCAAGAGTATTCATGGAATATTCACGGAGGTCTTCAACAGGGGGTCTGCGCCCCCTAGGGGGTCCACGGAGGTACTGCATAGGGGTACCTCTGCAATTTTTTCCACTAATTGAAAAATGATAAATGGAGATAAATGGAGGCAGAAGATGTCTTTCAGTCATCAATGCACACATTCAGTGACACACAGGAGCTCTTTCAAGCTGGGCACCGTTTCATTCACAACACCTGTCCCATCAACCAGGAATCAGAATCAGAAATACTTTAATAATCCCAGGGAGAAATTACTTTGGTTTCATTACTCCATCTGCAATAGAGTGACTATAGGACCAGTTTGATATAACACAATTTCATACAATATATATAATTAGGGGGTCCTCGCTCCATCTGGCCATCAGTTTGGCGTCCTTGGCCTGGAAAACATTGAAGCAAAAAAGAACTAAACGAAAAACCCACTAATTCTTTGGGTTTAAACTCACTACTAAAGGGGCGATTTCCTTCAACTTTTAGATGTGACCCTGTCTCAAGATACCCGACTGCAGTATTAGGTCATTAGTAGAGTTTGACTGCTGCTAGTTAACTAAGTTAGCCATTTGATTCAAGTGTGTAGGACAAGTAAAACATCTAAAAGTTGCAGGATACCAGTCCTCATGGATCTGAGTTTAAATCCACTGCTCTAATGGCTCTAAACTAAAACCCAAGAGTAATATATGAAATATTGTCTAATATTGTTCAGCTAAACAATTAAAGCTACTGTAGTGTCTTCTCATTGTACTGTATAGTTTTATTGAAAGGAAGCCAGAATAATCAGCCTTAGTGGGTGGAGTTGAGAAAATATGATTTGTCCTTTTTCCAAAAACTTTTTGGTGATAAACCAGTGTATTGAGATGCACCTGTGTTCAGTGTAGCAGACAAATCTCATTTCTTAGTCAAATCCCCAAACTTGACGTAGTTTGACAATTATATGGAAATAAATAGAAGTTTTGAAGGGGAAAAAAAACTCGCCTGTCCTGGCAAAAGATGTCATGATTGAGACTCCGTCTCACCCACTCGACAACCGGCAGCAATCAACTCATTGCGAGGCCGCTAATAATGTCATTAAGAGCGTTTCATCTTGGGCTGATTAAAAAGTCTCCTTTAATCGGAGGGCAAGTGATTGGCCTGCGATGGGAGCATAACAATGAGGAGAAAGGAACAGGCGAGTGTTTACATCCCAGTTTCCCTTCGCTGTAGCAACAAGCTTCATTTGCAATGTTATTTTGATTGATGCCCCCGTGCGTCATTCTGAGAGAAAAAAGTTGATGCTGGTCGAACTTGGCCGTTTCAGTTCATTTGAAGTGCTGTGAAATATTCAAAAAAATTTAAATGTAAATCACATGGCGTGTTAGAGGTCTGAAATTATCTGGGGCTTCATTTTCAGATCCTTTTTTAAATTTCTTTTATGGTGATAAATTGGCAATTTTGGCAGTTGCCCAGAGCGGCACTAAAAGAAAGGGCGCACAAGCACAGCTGAAAACCAAAATATATAATTTGTCATCATCACGTAGAAATTCTTTATTAATTTTATGCCTGTGCTCTATCTAAATCTCAAAGGATTTACTCTTTAATCTTATCATTGATTGGAGGAGCCTGTTTAATAAATAAAATCTAATGTTCATGTACTAAATTGCTATTATTATAAACCCTTTTGCATCATTGTAATTTGGAAGTTAGGCCTCCGATGGGTTTCAGATCAAAATATTAGCTGCTATAGTGTTACCTGTCCAGAAAATACCAAGTATGATGTAACATATTTGTCTATTTTTGGAGTCCTAACATTTCTGTTTTTTTTTCCCTGATCCGGCTTTGTGTTCTGTTGCCTGTGGGTGTGCAACCAGGAGTACCTGACAGAGCTCCAGGCGCTGCTGCGTTCAGTGTCAGAGACGGACTTCAAGCTGAACTCTCCTGAATACTGGCCTGCAGCCTATTATAACCTGCCCCAGCAAGAGCAATGCCTGAAGGTCAGCACTGCCTCACAGATAAACTATAGTTCACTGAAAATTTGTTTCATTCTTTTTTTTTCAATACATTTTGAATTTTAAAGTTTTCTTTCTTCCAGTTTAAATTAATTTTTTTATTTCTTATGTCAGGTTAAAATCAAAAGGAAATGTAAGAAAGAGGGGGGAAAAAGTAGTTTCCACAAACATTTTTTCTATAAATATTTTAGAAATTTCAAATCCTTTATGTACTCCACTGCATAAGATGTTTATCTCAAAATAGCCGTATTTAAAACCCTGAAAGCTAGAAAGCAGAATTAAACTTTTCCATTGACTCGAAACTCTCAAGCAGTAAATTGTATGTGGAAACACATTTTTTGAGCCCTGAGATAATACATTTTTCATTTTATACATTGATGCTGCTGGAATTGATTAACTTACCAAGTAGGAATATAGGCCCTATCAACACAACATGCTGTCAACATTCAGAATGAATGTTTCTACATGATCTACACTGCAAAAGCAATCTATAAATAATTAAAAATGTCTTAATTTAAGTGTATTTATCCTTAACTTGAGTAGGTAAATAAGATGATTTGCCAATGCTTTGGGATATTTTTACTCTTGAAACAAGATAGACGATATGCACTTGACATGAGACAATGCAATTGTTTTTTTCTTATTTTAAATTTAAATAGTTTTGTTCCATTGGCAAAGGGTCTCACTGACCTCCTCAGTTCAAGAGAAAAATGCACTTATTTTAAGAAAAGATTACTTATTTTGCATTGTATTAACATGTTATTAGTTAAAAAATCTTATTTAGTCTGTCATAAAAAAAAAATTGCTTTTTTTTTTTTACTTCATGTTAAAGTTACCAGCACAAATATATATGGTTCTCTTAATATAGTGGTAGAGATAGATGTCTCTTTTATAAGTGTTGGAAACTATTTATGGTCAAACCCTCAGGCCAAAACCAGACCCTAAACCTGCCCTATTAAAGAAACATTCAAATAAATTAATGAATGAATGAATGAAGAAAAGAAATACAAAGACCTTTAATTAATTTATTTTTGTTGTATGCAGATTATGGAAAAACCCAAAATAAAAGAAGTAGCATGTTAAGAAAAATACCAGATTGTAGGTACGAGAGCTTCAAATGAATTATATTTATTATTAGTAGTCCAAATGTGTAACATCAGTCCTAGTCCCCCGTTCATGTCTGAGATTCTACATTAACCACCATTAAAGCGGCTAATGAGTTTTATTCGTCTTTACTATCACAGTGATTTTCTGTGCCTTGTCCATGCCGAGGATGAGTTTTTCTCATTCTTTCCCAGGCTTTGCTGTAAGCTGCTTTTTGTCAATCGCAGATACAAAGTCTTATCCAAAAACTTCAAAGCTAGTTTATCCTTGCAAGATGGGTAATAAAGTATAAAATCACAACACAAATAACATCCATTTGGGATTCCTGCATGTATTGATAGCCGCTGTTTCTCTATGCTTATCATGGTGGTCATGTTTTAATCCAGCCATATTAAAAAGTTGCCTAAATTAAAAAAAATAAAAAATAAAAACAAGTGATCTGTTTTAACAATTTAAAATAATTAAAGTTGTAGTTCATTATTCGCTCTGACTGCAAAAACATTTGCTGAGGAATGCTTCAGGGGTCTTTAAATATTCACAGGTTTACTGGTCTGTTTGCTTTAATCCCCAAAATGTCCTGTGTGCTTCTTTATTTGCAGGATGTGAAGGAGAACATTGATAAACTGCACGGACCTGTGGAGAGAGCCCTGGCCCACAGAGAAGAAATGGTGATGGCTTCTCGACCTCTGGAGAGCCACAGAGTTCAGGAGACGGCTTCCCTGCTCTGTAATAACTGGGAAAAACTCAATAAGCTCTACAAGGACAGACTGAAGTAAGAGGAAATATGAGACCTGAAGGGAGGATATCCTAGACTTACGCTAGGATATAGGAAAAGATAATTAATAGGTTACTTAAAAAGATTTTTTTTTTTTACGTATAAAAGCCTATTTGCCATTTTAACTTGCCATCTATGGCGTCAATTTTGTTCCATTATTTTTGCAAGCGAAAAACGCGTTTTTTTGTAAATGAAAAATTTTAAAACACATTTTGTAAACTGAAATTTGGAAAAGTTGAAAAGTATTTTAATTTAATAATTTTTTTTTATACTATATATATATATGTGCTATATATTATAATATGTGTTTTTTGTTTTTGGTTTGTTTTTTTACAGATTTTATATTTTTTGTTTTACAGATCACATTCTCTACTTTAAACCAAAAACAAACGCTGGTCCATAACGCGTTTATTGACCAATAAAAATATTGTTGCTAACATCCAGCAGACAAATAAATATGCGTCTTTGCTCCTCACTCCACAGGAAAGCCCGCCCCAGAGGTGAAGACAGTAATGTCTTTACCTAATGTGAAAAACAAAGAAAAGAATCAATTGTGCAGAAATAACTTGGAAAATATATATATATTTTTAAATTAACATTAATTGAATTTGGAAAAAAAAATACAAGAAAGTACTTCTGGATTGCATTTTTTTAAAACTTCCATTTACAAAAGATGTTGTTTGCTCTCATTCTCTCCATCCTCACCTAATTTTACATAAAAGGGGTTTGAATGACAAAATTACAGCATGTTGAAACAAAGCAGCACATTTAAACTGGCTCGCTAATAAAGCTCATGCAGCTAATAAGAAGTGTTATGTATGCAGACTCAATGTGTTTAAAAAAGATGGTGACATTCTACTGTAGGATCCAGGGCTGGACTGGGACCATAAAATGGCCCACATTTGTATTCATGGCGGCCCTCCATGATTAGTTATAGACCATAGGACATTTACAAACTTTGAGAGGATTAAAAATGAAATGCATATAGAAAGAAATATAAGCTCCTGTCACACCTTGATGATTTAAACCAGCGTATGCCTGACGTACGAAATATCTGGTAAACACGCTGGCATATGTTAGATAGGTTATGTCGAGAAATATTAAGCATGCTCAAAATTTCCAGACGTATGCCAGCATATGTTCAAATGTGGGCCATAAATTACAGGTAAGTTATCTGATCATTGACATACGTTAAGTTTAAGTTACTCATAAGTTGTGGCGTCCAACTTATCCAAAACCTATGATTAACTTATGCGTAACTTATCAAGAACTTATATCCAATGCATATCAACAAATCTGACGTGTTCCAGACAACCACTTAGAGCTACTGTTTAAAGCTGTAACTTCTAACCTTCTTTCTTTTTCTATTTTTTTTTTTTTTTTTTTCCCGCAGCATGACTTCCTAATCAACCACCGGGCTGAGCTGTGAGGACATTATCTTCTGGGATGGCGTTTGATGTCAGCTTTATGAGAATGAAGCAAATAATTTTTTTTTTTTTTTTTTTTTTTTTTTCCCGCAGGCGGGCGACAGCAGCTAGTTTAATACCGCGATCAAATCCCTTATGCATCATTTCATGGGCATTACGCTGCCATGCTTTATGCAAAAGCTAGGCTGTCATTGGACATAAGTTCTGGACTCGTCATAAATGCGCTTCTTATAAGCCCAAAATTGATAAAATACATAGAAAGTTCAGCGTATGCAAACGTTTTAGGAGATTCTGGGACGTTTGTCACACCTTACCGATTTGGCCAGTGTGTGCCTGAGCCCATATCGAGTGAAATAAAAAGGATTTGTTAAATGTTTACAATGAATAAAGGACAGCATTTTGTGTATCGCTTCTTCTGTGGACATAATTTGGACTTAAACCCATTTCACTTTTTAACAAATAAATTCTTTTATATAGATTAATATATGAAATAACTAATTATAAATGCATTTTTGATCAAATTATGACAGCAATGGGCCGACCCAAAAATTATCATCTGCCCTGTAAGCCCAATGTCCAGGCCAGCCTGGTAGGATCTCGTCCTCTCAGATGACCATGAACTCTTCTTCATACCAAAGAATTATTCAGAAAAGTTTAAATCAGCCTGTGTGACTGCAAACTAAATAATTAACCAGATAATGATCTCATAAAGCAGCTAATCTAATAGTGAAGGGGCGAAAATGGTCAAATGTATTTTTGAGCAGAGAAGATAAAAACGACTATCAAAGTTTGATTGTATTGATTGATTTATTGTTTCCTATTGTGTTAAACTTTTTAAACAGAATAATTAATACTCTGATTATTTATAACTGGTATCATTATCACCCATCTGCTCTGCATGTGTTTGTAAAGGCGTTGGAAGGACTGCAACTCCAAGTGGCAGAAGTTTGTGTCGGATCACAAGGCCGTGGATGAGTGGCTGAACAATGGCGAGAACACGCTGAAACTGTGTGAGAGCGAGCCAGCAGCCCACAGACAGCAACTCAGGGTAAAACCAAATCCTCCATTTTCTCCACTTTAACCAGAACCAGCAGCTGGAGGCCGATAAATATGCAAATAAAAGGGCTCTTTGGATTTTTATCTGATTGTAAATACAAGATATGTTCTAAAAAGGTTTATAAAGCTACAGACCTTTGAGCCAATTGAAAACATACTGATTAAAAGTTACGCACTGATGCTTTGAGTATATATTAGAATGAGCAAAAATAAACACTTGGAATATATCTAATAATTAGATTCAGAACTGCTGAAAACTAGTGTGTGTTTGTGTATATAGGACCTGGTAGAGGATATACCTGTCCAGGAAGGGGTGTTGGGCAGAGTGAACTCTACAGGTGAGGAAATCAGCCAGATGAGCACACCAGACGATGCCTTACGCCTCCGATCGCAGCTGAAGTTACTCAACACTCGCTGGGCCAGCATCTGTCAGGAACTCCGGGAGCGTAAGAGGAGGTGGGGGTCTGGTCCTGCCCATCCCAACTCTCCAACCATCATTTTAGATTCAGAAAGTGGAGGAAAAAAATGCAGCAACACAAATGAAGAGCTGTCTTTTTTTTTTCTTTGTTTCCTGCAGGTCATCTGAGGCTCGTACAGCCGCCGCAGAGCTGGAGGAGGAAATGGGCTCCATGCTGGGTTGGCTGGATAAGGCGGAGGGTGTGCTGAGCATCCCTCTACACCCTGCAGAACCGCAGCACATCAGAGACACTTTAAACAAAGTCCAGGTAGCATGAATAAATATCTAATCCCAAGAATAATCCCTTTTTATTTAGAATATTAAGTTATATCTGTCGGATATCGTAGCTCTGATGGCATCAGGGTTTAAAAGGATATACTGTACTGACCCGAATATAAGACGACCCCGATAATAAGGCGACACCCTCTTCTTTTAGGACCAGTTTTTAGGAACAAAACAAAAACACAAAAAACAAATTTATTTGGTTTAAAGAAACAAATTTATACTGAAGTGCTAAGAATTTCATTTAAATAATATTATATTGAAAGATTTGTGCAATTAAAGCATAAAAAAAACATAGTCATGACACATTTAATTGAAATCTTGCAACTCGAATGCAATCTGAACTTTGCTCACCGAACGTCTCAAAAACCTGCATGAGGCTTTTACTCACAGACGTCGCTGCCACTCCAACTGTCACCCTGCAGCTCTGCAGTTTTTTAATAAGGTTTTATTTTGCTGTTTGCATTTTTCAGGTGCTTTTGAACGCTCCATCTTCTGACATTGCACTCTGCAACTCTGTATTTCTTTGCTACCTATGAGTTGTATGATCCCTCCACTATGTTAAACACCATTATTTAAAAAATAACTCCTCCTCAAATGTCTCCAAAGTCGTCTGACTTTTGATCCAATCTGTTCTGGGCTGTAATTCTCCATCTGTAGCAGCCTTATCGCTTCTTCTCTGTTGTGATAGAAAGATGACCCCAGCCACAGTCAGGTCATTGGCTTTAGGAAAAACTGGCGCCCTCTGCTGTTACGTTCATGTAGCGACTCCAGACAACTGTCAGCCTGTATAAATGGTTAGACCCCGATTATAAAATGACCCCACATTTTCACACTTTGTCTTATATTCGGGCCAATATGGTGCATCCATGTGTCGGTAGGTCTAGAAAGGTCTGTATCCTTCCACAAGCAACTGTTCTGGCCTCTGAGCTGCAGTAGCTAAATTAAAGGATTTTTTCTCCCCACAATGTTGTGTTTAAGACTCGTGTGGAGGAGCTTCCTGGGAAGAAGGTGACGATGGATTATCTGAACGCCAAGCATAAGATGCTAACCCTTCCTGCTGAGAGGCACAAAGACATCAGAGGAATCAACACTCGCTGGGCTCAGGTAAGCGGCCGGGAGCCTCAATGTCACGGGGTCACTGCTGAACTGAAGAGATCTGGGATCCAAACCGGGGATGCAAGTTATTCATTAATGAATTAATCTAAACTCCACTGATCTTATCAATCAGCTAACAATTAACTGATAAGTGGACTTTTTTTTTTTATCAGGAGGATTAAATTAGGGACCTTAATATTTTTTACAATATGCTACATTTAAAAAAAAAAGCCTAACCCATTATCACGACGGCTATATTAATTACCAACTGAATAAACGATAAAAAATTCTTTTTTACATATTATTAAACTTGATATATATTTTAAGATATAACAGAACATAAACCTATAGGGTTTCTGAAAAATAAAAGATGAGGAGAGATGTTAAACTATCAGTAACAGACAGGGGTATGTCGCTCCAACATACTGTCAGACCAGTGGTGTAGTCTATGTGATACACGGGTATATGCCGTATACCCACTAGAAAAGCTTGTGAATTTCCGTATAACCACTTAAAAGTGCCCAACGCAGCAGGCGCAGCAGGAGCAGCGAGTTTACATGCAAAGTCAGCTGATGCGCCGCAAACGCGCTGCTGCTCGAGATGGAAAAATTGAACTTTTGCTGCTCTACGCTCCGCGTCAACCAATCAGAGACGCTGATCTGGGAGCTGGCAGGGAGACAAACACATCGCTGATGACACAGAGCGCTGTGATCACTCCTCTGAAACAGTTTATTAACGCCTAAATTAACTGAAAATGCTGAAACCTGCCGAGATAGCGTGTTTTCTTTTATTATCCTGGTGCCTGCAGTTTTGATTACGTTCATGAAAACCGCTTCCAGCCGCCGCAGCGAACCGCAAGGAGGCAACAGGTGTTATGCCCAAAAATGCATGCCTGCCGAGATATGCATCCCCAGTCGCGGGAGCGCGCATCGCTCTGTTCAACTGCATATCAACGAGGAAAACTGATTAAAATACGACCAATGGAGCTTGGGTTCTTATATTAATGATATAAAAATGTTTAAATATACCTCTCGTGGAAAATAAATGTGGTTATTTGGCAGATTCATTTACAAAAATACAGATTTTTTTAAATAACATTAATTCCAGAGATTTTTACCGAGGTACGGCTGATTTACTTGTTGTGGTCCCACTTAAAAACAAATTAAAACTACTTTATTCCCACTGATCGCAGCAAATATAGCTGCAAGGCAAAGAAAGGATAGAGCAGGGAGCCTGAAAACCTTAAACCACTGATCACTTGCATGCAAACCATTCCATGTAGTGTGTGTGAAAGAGGGTTCAGCTTAATGAACAATATCTGTACAGATAAAAGATCTTCTCTGTTGTCAAATATAAGTCATCTCACGATGATCAGTATAAAATGGCCTCCTGTTAATCTTCTTGAACCTAGGAAGTATGTGACAACATGGTTAAGGAACCACCGCTCTACAACAGAAACAAGAAGACAAGTGAAACATAAGGAGCCTCAAAACAAACATGTCTGGAACATTTTATAGACACAGTTTTAACCTGCATAGTACTTCTGTACTTACATGTAGTACTTGATACTTAAGCATGTTTTGTTGTACAGTTTTATAGATTCTACGTCTTTTCAATACAAAGCCAACTGTAGTACAGTTTGTTGTTCATTGATTCAAATGTAAGTAACAGAGAAATTAAGCAATGTTAAATATGCTTAAAAAAAAAAGGTCCATTACATTGAACTTACTGGCGTGCTTATGTCTAAGCACAGTATACCCACTACAATAATGTAGACTACACCACTGTGTCAGACTGTTTACAGCTTTGTTTTAATGAAGCCGGTGTTGATCTGTCAATAGTACTAACAGGGAGTATTCCTTTAGGTGTCCAAGGCTCTGCCTGAGCGTCAGCTGGAGATTGAAGGTCTATTAAAGGAGCTTCTGAAGGTCCAGGGTGAGCTGGAGGACCTGTCAGCCTGGGCATCAAGTACCAGAGCCAAGCTGGAGCAAAGTCCTGAGGAACCACCACCCAGAGTACGCCCTCTTTTTGTTTTTTATATGCCTTTCTAACTAAATGTTGCCAACAAATGTTAAGGAGATGTTGATTTCATTTGAAATAAGTTTGTACTTTTCTGTTCTGACAGCTTATTGAGGACGTTCAGCTGAAGAAGCCAGAGGTGGAGTTTGTTTTGGAGCGAGCGGATCGTCTGTACAAGGAGACGCCTGCAGGATGGCCGGATAAGGTCCATAAAACATGATTTGATCACCTGGTTTTTCCATGAAACTTCTATGATTTTGTCAGTTGATTGTTCTCATCCCTTGATGGCATTCATAGACGCTCATGCTGAGCGCCACTGTTAGCTTGCTTCATGTGTATTATTCATGTGTTGCAGGGGAAATACGGCAAGCTAAGGGAGGACTGGACGGTGATTCTGGAGCTGCTGCAGAAGCATAAGGAAAGGACGGCTGCTCTGCTCGTCTCCAAAAAAGCCTGTAAGTCTAAGAAGTCGGTACTAATTCAATAAAAGTCAGTTTTCCCCACTAGAGAGTGTTGATGCAAGCAGTGAGTTATTTAACAAGATAAAGAGGCAAAATCAAAACAATTTTCATCATTTTTTTCCTTCTTTATTTACTACATGCAGGACATCACCGTTTCTGTTGTTAATTTATTTTGTTAGATTTGTTGGAAATGTTTTTTTTTTTTGTAATATTTGTTATTGCTGTGTCACTTTTATCATGTAAATGGGGGAAGAAAAAGCTCAAAAACAATGGACCCAAAGACTCAGCAGTGCATATCAGGGACCGATTTGACTGTTAATTCCCAAAGTTGGGTTCCCAGATATACAAGTATGGTGCCTGGAGATCCTTTATAGAAATTAAATAATAAAAATGGTCATGATGCATGTATTTTTTAAGATATCAGAACATTATTATTAAATGGACTAAATCAAATAGACTGATTGCTGATGCTGTTTTTTTCTAGAAATGTTTGTATTCCAACCAAAAGTTTGGGTTCTGAGATCATTCTGGTACCATTCTGTGAGTCAGAAGCCAAAACATTTGTGAAAAACGAAACCTGTTGATATTAGTTGTATATTTCTGGTCCTTCACCTGTAATCTGTATTTACTTTAAAAACTCATTTTTGTTGCTAAACAAACCACAGCATGATGCTGCCACCACTGAGTTTCACCTTAAAATGACGTGTCCGGATTGAGTTCTAGTTTCCTCCACATAAACTCAGTTTCTGTTTGAATAGAGAACATTCTTCCTCAGGTAAGATGTTCCTCCTACATGGTTTGTAGCAAACGTCCCTCCTAAAGGTTTTCTTAGTCGTTTGCTTCAGGCTCTGTAGCCTATCCAGAGTTATCCAGCTCTCTGATTAGCGCTGCTGTTGCCTGAGCTTTTCATTGATGGTAAGGGTTAATTCTCCTCCTTTTGAAACATCTCCTAATCTCTCTCCAGATGAAGCCCATGCGGGAAGCTCCCAGGCCGAATCAGCTGCGCTGCAGCAGTTCAACAAATCCTGGGCTGAGCTCACAGATTGGCTGAAGATGCTGGATAACATGGTTCAAAACAAGCGAGTGGTGGTGGCTGACCTGGACGACATCAACGACAATATAAGCCAACTGAAGGTGAGGGTATCACAGCATCGACTGGGTGGAACATGCAAGGGGGCATGAATAAGTTTCCTTTTTTCAAACATGAAATTGAGTCACTTGCTTCCAGGCATCTCTCCAGGAGCTCGACAAACGTCGCCCTCTACTGGAGAAACAAGTTACAGCAGCACAAAATCTGAAGAACAAGACCAGCAACCAGGACACACGCAACGCTATCACCGAACGCAGTAAGACTTATGAAGAAAAAGAAAGTTACATTTTTCTACTAGTGTCTCATCCTTTTTCCTCCACAGTTGAAAAGCTCCAGACCCACTGGGAGGACTCTCAGACCAAACTGTCAGACAGACTCAAGCAAATCCTCAACATGCTGCAGGACTCCACAAACTGGCTTGACGCAAAGAAGGAGGCGGACTATCTGATCAAACAGGCTAGCGGGAGGCTGGAATCATGGCAGGAGATCACGTACACGGCGGACGCGCTGAAGAAACAACACGCAGATCTGAGGGTGAAGATCATGAACGTTGGGACGGTTAGCCGGTCTGTTGACGTCAGTAATAAGATCACTTCTTTTTGTTTGCCATTCCTCTGCAGGCTTTCATGAAGGACCTGAAGCAGTGGCAGGGTCAGGTGGATGAAACGAACGCGCTGGCCGACAAACTGCTGACGCTGTACGCCAACGACGACACGCACAAGGTCACCCAAGTCAACGACAGCATGATGGCCACGTGGACACACATTAACAAACGGTAACCATGGAAACACATCAAAAGTCTGTTTGGCTGTGAGAAAGCTGATCTGGAAGATGGCATGATGCATGGAAGAACATGGCCAGCTGGATTAAAAAATAAGATTTTTTTTTTTTTATTCAAATAAAACATTTTTCATTACCTATAAGATCATATGACTATCAAACATAAAACCAATGTTAAATCAATATACCGTATCTTCCAAACAATAAGCCACTACTTTTTCCCCACAGTTACTGTATATCTTTTGTGTTGTTTTTTTGCCGTTTTGTTTTGGTTTCTTTGTTTTTGTCGTCTCTTTCCTCTCCCCTCTCTTTTCTACCTCTTATATTTCTTTCCCCCCTTACTTCTTCTAACTTTCAATAAAGTTTCATATATAATTGCCGAGCTGAACATGAAGGCAACAACCATAATGGTCCACTTGTAAAAGCAAATCTGTTAGGCTGTTATCTAGTTTGGCACATCAATTCCCAGAGCTACTCTACCGTTCAAAAGTTTGGGGTCACATTGAAATGTCCTTATTTTTGAAGGAAAAGCACTGTACTTTTCAATGAAGATAACTATAACTAGTCTTACCTTTAAAGAAATACACTCTATACATTGCTAATGTGGTAAATGTCTATTCTAGCTGCAAATGTCTGGTTTTTGGTGCAATATCTACATAGGTGTATAGAGGCCCATTTCCAGCAACCATCACTCCAGTGTTCTAATGGTACAATGTGTTTGCTCATTGGCTCAGAAGGCTAATTGATGATTAGAAAACCCTTGTGCAATCATGTTCACACATCTGAAAACAGTTTAGCTCATTACAGAAGCTACAAAACTGACCTTCCTTTGAGCAGATTGAGTTTCTGGAGCATCACATTTGTGGGGTCAATTAAACGCTCAAAATGGCCAGAAAAATAGAACTTTCATCTGAAACTCGACAGTCTATTCTTTTTCTTAGAAATGAAGGCTATTCCATACGAGAAATTGCTAAGAAATTGAAGATTTCCTACAACGGTGTGTACTACTCCCTTCAGAGGACAGCACAAACACGCTCTAACCAGAGTAGAAAAAGAAGTGGGAGGCCGCGTTGCACAACTGAGCAAGAAGATAAGTACATTAGAGTCTTTAGTTTGAGAAACAGACGCCTCACAGGTCCCCAACTGGCATCTTCATTAAATAGTAATGAAGGACATTTCAATGTGACTCCAAACTTTTGAACGGTAGTGTATATTGACAGAATGGGACACAAAGAAAAAAAAAGTACATATAAAACAGGCAAAACTCAGCCGCTGTGTGTTAAATTTAATAATAAGATTCATAAAAATGCTTTTTTGGAGTAAAGTCCTAATTTCTCTGAACTGTCTGCATTCCCAGAGTTTCAGACCGAGAAGCAGCCGTGGAAGCCGGTCTAAAGCTGCTCCAACAGTTCTACCTGGATCTGGAGAAGTTCCTCAGCTGGCTGACGGAGGCGGAGACCACCTGCAATGTTTTAATAGATGCCACTAACAAGGAGAGGCTGCAGCAGCAGCCTGAGGCTGCCAAGAGGCTGCTGGCTCAGTGGAAGGTAGGGACACATGTCCTCTTCATTAAGGCTTATAATCCTGCTCCACCGGCTGCTGATCACCGCTGTGGGAGGGGGGCTCCTGGTCACGTAGATTTAGGATGTAACTCAATAACCTGGTTATTTACAGTCTCCTTAAAGCAATAAAGATCAACACAGCTCCACATGTTATCAGTGGAGGATCTAATCAGGGCGAAAAAAAGCTGCTTCTAAGATGTTTCTACAAACTAAATTAGTTTCAGTTCTCCATCCACCATAGTTTTACGTGTTATTCCCCCCCAGGTACAGGCTTTAGCAGGATTATCTGTTTTTCAACACACCTGTCAGCCGTCATTAGGTGATGACTGATTGCCTTTGGTTGAGTCAGGATATTAGTGCAGCATATTTTCTATGTTTATATATAAAAGAGAAAAAAATGTCCCTGCATTAATAATAGAGAAGCACTCGGCTGTCGAGCTGTGTGGGCAGAGAGAAAATTATTTTGCAAGGACAGCATGGCGGGAGGGCAGCATGTGGCAGCGCTGCTTTTAAATAAGACTCCTTCTTGTCTTTCCTCTTTTGTTTTATATTCAGAGTATTATTTATACAAGATGGTTGATTTTTATTGTTTAATTATGTTTGTTTGGCTAACTTTGATTCACTGTCAACGAACAAACACAACTTTAGTTTCTGTGGAAAATTGACCAATCAAACATGATAATATGGACATAAAAACCAGGGGCCTGTACCACAATGCAGGATTACTGGGTTAGCATCGCTGGTTGCCATGGTGACTTACCCTAAAGGGGAAACCTGCTCCGGGGCACACTAGCTTTCAGGATTGATCTGAACCCTAGAAAATGCTCCACCCAGCATCATGTTGGAAATCTGGCATGTGTTGCGGTAGAAATAAGGTCCGGTCAGTCAACTCAGTTTTATGTGGGTTTAAGAGGAATTTTTCGCACCATTACATTTGCAAAGAGACGTCCTAGTCCAAAATTGCGTAGGGGGCCAACCAGATGTCAGTGACAGGACCCCTAAGAGATTGTGGGCCCCTAAGCAACTGCAGTCTCTGCTTACCGATAGTTAAACCATTGCAATCGCCCTATCCCATGTGCAGAAAACCCCCAAAAACATTATGCTACCATCCTTACTGTATTACGAACAGTAACCTTGGAAACAGTGGTCCCAGTCCCCGGTAGTTCTGAGCTGATTTCAAACCTTTGTTAGGATCATTGAGACCCCATGAGGTGAGATCTTGCATGGAGCCCCAGCCTGAGGGAGATTGACAGTCAGGTTTAGCTTCTTCCATTTTCTAATGATTGCTCCAACAGTGGACCTTTGTTCACCAATACACTTGGCAGGGTTTTCAAATACTTATTTTACTCACTGTATATGCTTCTTGTTTGCTGTAGTCATATAAATGAGAAGAAAAAATATCAAATCGGCAGGCTGCGTTTGAGGACTTTCACTATTTTAAAAGCAGAGTAGATTTTTACCATTTGTCCCGCCAACTTCTTTTTCTTTACGGCACTAGTGGCTCCTTTTTTCAACAGTAGGCTGACAGGAAACGGTGTCATGTCGGGGCTCAGGTGTCTAACCCACATGCAGAACACCACCAGGAAACAGGGAAAGTTTTAACAGTTTATTTTGGATGCTGTACAAGAAGATGTTTTGTTCAGAGTTAAGTCAGTAAACACAGAAGTAACTGGAACGAGGCTAAAGGCCCGAGGACTGGTCACACACGGAGATCTGCAGAGACGGATAGTTATGTTAGCCAGATGGACAGGGACTTGGAGTTTGACGGAGAGGTTTGATTCTGTACCTGGTTCTGAGTTTTTGGACTGGCTTGATTGAGAGGGGGAACCGAGTTGGTCTGGAGTTTGATCTATGGTCAGATGGCTTGGCAGCGTCAGTTCTCTACTTCAGACTCGAGGGACACAGAGCTTCTTCCTAGAAGCCTCTGGATGCAGGTTCAGTAGAAGGTTCTTCAGGTCTGATACTGAGAGCAGGCAGGCAGGCTGGTTTCAGAGGGACTCTTCCAGAGATCCAGGTCTGGGTCTGAATGTTTCTAGAAAAGGAGAAGACAGAAAACTGATTAGAGTCAGATCAGATTTTCTGGGGGACAGAGAATCAGGCAGGCTGGTTGGCTCAGGTTTGCTAACCATAACTACGCAACACTCTGGCACTGAAGAGAGGTTCTGACGCTGCTTAAATGCTGCTCCTCCTGATGAGCTGATCAGCCGCAGGTGTGGCGGTGGCTTCAGCTCCGGGAGATCCAGGGCGCCATCTGCTGGAGGAAGGTGGGCAAAACTCCAGATCCCAACAAAGGGGGTATGAGAGAGGGGGAGAGACATGCAGGCTGGATTAGAACCTGGGTCGCCCGCATCAAGGACTAAGGCGTCCATACATGGGTTGTGCACGCTAACCATGTCCCGTTAAGTTCTGACACAGCTCAAAAATCAGGCTGATTTCACTCTGACTGATCCCTTCTTCTATTAATATGATGTAATCGTGCCATAAGCTTCCAGCTTTATTCTGGTCCAAACATTATTGATTTAAAAACTCCCTCTAACCAGATGAAATTATGTTTTGTTTTTTATCTGCTCCCAACTCTCTTCACTCCTGAGGGGAACGCAATTATTATGCAGTACAGTGACTGGGATACAGTCCGAGTTAAATGACGCTGAAGTGTAACTTGCTCTTTAAATCAGTCAGCAATCCTTTGCCACTTCATTTGGTGTCTCTTTCATGCCGACACTGCGTTTGACTTTTGATTGAGACTTGTGTTTCCTCTTCCTGTTTCTTTAAGACGAGTTTCTGTTCCTCACAGGAGAAATACGGCGCTCTCCCTACTGCAGTCATGGCTGTGATTTTTGTCTGCTAACTTGAACCCGCCCCTTTATATGTGATAATCCATGATCATTTAAAGCTGGATTGAGTTAGCGAGTTGATAGCCAGCTTCGTGGTACCGCTGATCCTGATTGCCATTGTTGCAGATTGGTTAGACCAGATAAGGTGGAAGTAATCTGTTTATGTTTAGCTTGTGGTATGGGCCTCTGGTTTTGGTGACTGTAGACCTTTTAACCGACAGTGGAAAAACACCAGCAGATAGCATAGCTCTCCTCTGAAACTAGAGACTTTGCACCATCGAGCAGCACTTCATGATGCTTCTGGTGTTCTGATCCAGGAGTGGTTTGTCACCAGGAAATAGACGAGTTTATGGATAAACCTTCATTGTAGTGGCTCTTAAAGTGCTGAATAGAGTTGCACTTTAATTGAACTTTTCTTTTTTGCACCTTCATCTACTATAGTTTCTTCTTCCACTTCAGTTTCCATCAATATTTGTGGATGGAGGGCTCTGAACGAGGCCATTTGTTCTAACACAGTAGGCCCTAATGTGAAGATTTTAGTGCCAGAATGGCCTAGTCAAACGCCAGACGTCATCCTAATTGAGAATATGTGGCAAAACTTTAAATATGCAGTTTGATTTGAGTTCATTTTAGTTCTTTTGCTCATAAAGCTGACATCAAACGCCATCCCAGAAGATAATGTCCTCACAGCTCAGCCCGGTGGTTGATTAGGAAGTCATGCTGCGAAAAAAAAAAAAATAGGAAAGCATAAAAACAAGAACACAATTCTCTGCCCTGCTTGGTATGACAGCAATGCTGATTCGGAAGCACTAAGAGGTTTCATTGGTCGCTCACGGCCTGCCTGACGTATGGAAAGTTTTCCCCCGCTGCATCGTGGGTGTTGAATGGTGGCCTCTGTCTGCAGAGAGGACGTACTCTGACCCTCATACCCTGACACCATCTCTTTGTTGGCGTGCTTAAAGCTCGGAAACACTTGCACGTCGCATCTTGAGAAGCAAATTTGAAACACTAAATTTCTGCTTTTAATCCCTCTTCACGCACACATCAGGAGTTCTGTCAGTCCAACAGGCAGTGCTGTGTGTGCAGCGCTGAGATAGTCTTCTGTGTCCAATTATTATGGCAGCTGTAGCATCCAGAGAGTGCGCACACTCTCTCCGGGGCTACAACGCCACACGCAGATAAGGTTTAATTGGAAAACGAGCTCACTCATCGTTTTCTTCTTGCTTTCATGTCCTCTTCCCTCCTCCTATCTACTCCTCACCCCCTCTGTGTTCTCACTAACTTACCCTGCCCAACTTTGTCTCTTTTTCTCCCTCTTCCTTTGCCGAACCCACCCTCCCTTCTCCTCGTATCTCCAAGAGTCTCGCTCACATTTCAGCGGAGGGCATTTTTCATACAGCCACACAGGGAGCTTGTTTCAAAAAGAAAAGAGGAAAACATGGCGACCCCTCTGCATCTTAACATCTAGTTTCTTCTTCATGTTGCGAGAGTTTGCAGGATGCTGCGTAGGAGAGTCTACCAAGTTCAGGTTGGAGTCTACAGATTAACCTCCACTCTTTAGGGAAAACAGAACATTACAGATATGACATCTAGAAACATGTTTAAAATGGTAAAACTGTCATAATTAGGTCTGAATAAGTGTTTACCTCATTTCTTCTGTTCTTTTAAATGCTTCAGATAAGTAGACCATGTTTAATACACATACCTAAGATGTAAATGTAACAAAAAAAATGGGTTTAAATTATGATTTTATGTTCAAAGGTTCTTTAGGTCATTGTCCTGCTTCATAATAGCCAGACTGACTTACATTGGGTCTAATTGAGTTTGGTAAGGCGCGAAAAGGGTGGTTTCATGACTTTTTGTCAGTTTTCGTCTTCCTTGCCTTGAAATTCTCCTGGCCAGTGACCCGCGTTGGACAGCAGAAAGAAGGTGAGATGGTGTTCTGCAGCTGAGAGATGGACTGCAGAACACCAGTAGAGAGAGCACCAGAACTGGGTACAGCCATCCGCCCTATGGAGCTAAATGGAAGATCGAAGAAGTCTGCTGGACAGACAGAACACCAGAACAGGGCGGAAGCAGGGGCTGGTCGGGAGGAGGACAGCGGTATATTAGACAAGTCCTACGGGGAAGACGGGCCAGAGCTGTTAGGGCTAACGTCTAGAGCAGGCATGCCCAATGTTGGTTCTCAAGAACCGCTGTCCGGCAGGTTTTAGAAATTCCTCTCCCAAGTCATCATAATTCATCAGCTGATTCTGATGATTGCAGTTCAGCAAATGCCTGTTAATCAGCCATCAATGAAAATCAGCTGTGCTGGAGCAAGCAAACCTCTAAATCGTGCAGGACGGCGTTCCTTGAGGAACGACATTGGGCATGCCTGCTCTAAAGATAGGAGGACAGCGGTACATTGGAGAAGTCCTCTGGGAAAATGGTGCCAAAGCTGGTAGAGCCTGTGGTTGGCCAAGGTTAGCCTCTAGATGGAAGGAGGACAGCGGTACAATGGAGAAGCCCGCTGGGCAGACATAGTGGACAGAGAAGGCGGCAGATGGTCATTGTCTGTGCTGGAGTTAGGATGATAAAAAGGGCTTAATTATAACGACCTTTTTAAAAGCCACCCATAAACCCCACTTTCCACTTCCACCCTTCTCTATCTTCCATTTTGATTTCCAAAAGCTGGTCTTTGCTGCCTCCTACACTGCAGCTCTCAGCCACATCTAGTCCCTGATTGGAATTTGCAACACAAATGTAAAGATAAGCTCTGATTTTTTTCAACTGTGAATTTCTTTTGGACTTCTTAGCCGAAGTGGCTCCGATCTGTTTATTCAATTTGCCAAGATTGATGGTACAAAATAAAAATTATGAACACAGAGGGTTCAAAATATAATTAAAAGACAGGTTATTTCACTCTGACATACTGTCAGGATATTTTTCACTTTGTTTAAATAATGTCATGGTCATTTCTGATATAGCCCTATGTTTTTGGGTGGTGGGTGAGACTGTGCTGTTAAACAGGTGGTTCTGGTTACTCCCTTGCCCCTTATTTAAAATTATGAGAATGAAAGATTGGGTAATTTACAGTCACACATATATTTAACATGTTCCTGATTAAAAAAACTTTTGTCATTTAAAACAAGATACTTTTGTACACTGTTAAAGAAAACAAAAATTTTGTCTCAACTATTTTAATTCAATTATGTTTATAACTAAAATAAACATATTTAAATTAATAATTAAATATTTTCCTTTGTCAGATTTCAATTTAGTATGAAGTTTAGTATGGAGAAGTTGATTTTGGGCTGAGTTGTCCTTTAACTCGCCATCTTCATTTCATTTTCCATTTGAGGGATCCAGACTTAAACTCCTTGGTTGATGTGCTGAGATGTTACTTCATTGTTTCTGCAATATATTGTTTCCTCATGTTGTTACCTTTTATATGAGGTAAAAGTAATCGCATAAAAACCTACCATTTTAAGTTCTGATTAATTAGATTAATTGTACACTTATCATAGAATGTCAGTAGAGGGTCCGAATTGCAACGTAAAAATGACCAAGGAAATCAGAAGCGTCCTCATGGAAGTTACATCTTTTGTCTCTTCATGTTAAACCAGGACCTCCAAGCAGAGGTTGACGGTCATGAGGAGCTGTATTACTCCCTGAATGAAAACGGCGAGAGGATTCTGACCTCTCTGACAGACTCCGAGGACGGCGTCCTCCTCCACAGACGTCTGGACAACATGAGGCACCGCTGGAACGACCTGCGCAGCAAAACTCTCAGCATGAGGTGAGCGACAACCTGGAGTACAGAAAGATTGCAGCTGTGGAAATGTTTCGCTCTGAATGCGGAGAAAGGTAGAAGGGAAGAAATATCCTGCTTGTGTTTGTGTGGTAGGTCACAGCTGGACTCTGAGATGGCTCCTTGGAAGAGGCTCCACATGTCACTGCAGGAGCTGCTCAACTGGCTGAGGCTCAAAAGTCAACAGCTGGAGCAGGAGAAGCCTGTAGGGGGCGACGTCCCCACCGTGCAGACCCAGCTGGATACCCACAGAGTAGGAGGAAACGCCACACAAGCTTATGTCTCAGATTAACAAGGAGATATTTGATGTTTTCATCAGTGGGAATTAAATTAAAGTTCCAGTAGGACAAAAAAAAGCAGCCAAGAATGATTAAAAGAGACAGTGAGGAAAATCTTAGTTTAAGAGTTTTATGATTTGTCCTTATTAACCTTTTCCCATTTTCTACCTGTTTGGTTTTGTTTTTATTACACCTCATAAACACAGGCCCAGACACTTAACACCGCCTTAAACCAGAGGTTTCCAAAGATTTTATCCTGTGACCTCAAAAAACATCAATGCAACAGATTTGAGAACCTTTAAAAATGTGTATATTAACTTAATTTCTTTTCTCTATATTTATTTTTACATATAAAATGAAGAAAATTATATCAGGTTTCAAGGAAATGTATTGTTTTACATGAAATTTACTGATTTTTTTATTTATTTATTTAATTGGACAATTAATTATTTAATAATTACTTTCACAATTTAATGACATATTTAATATTTGAATACTGTTTAGATGAATAAATGTTGTTCTATGTAAAAACTTAATTTTATGATAGATTAATATTATTTCCTGAGACATTTTTTTTGTTTTTTCTGATAAATTTTGTCTTTACATATACCACATATTCCATATCCATATTGTTTTATACATATATATAGACCAACCAAATAGTGCGGAGGTCTTCAACAGGGGGTCCGTGACCCCTAGGGGGTCCACGGAGGTACTGCATGGGGGTCGCAAACGTTTTTTTGTAGATTAGACTTTTTTTATATTCCACCCTGCAATTTTTTCCACTAATTGAAATGTCTTTAAATCCACATTAACTTGAATTCAACAAACTGTAGTAAACAGATAAATGGAAGCAGAAGATGTCTTTCTGTCATCAATGCACACATTCAGCGACACACAGGAGCTCTTTCAAGCTGGGGACCGTTTCATTAACAACACCTGTCCCATCAACCAGGAATCACAATCAGAAATACTTTAATAATCCCAGGAAGAATTTACTTTCATTACATAACTCCATCTGTAATAGAGTGACTATAGGACCAGTTTGATAGAACACAATTTCATACAATATATAATTAGGGGGTCCCCGCTCCATCTCTCCATCAGTTTGGGGTCCTTGGCCTGGAAAACCCGTGAAGACCCCTGACATAGTGTCTTGCGAGCCCTCAGTAGGTCCAGACCCTCACTTTGGGAACCCCTGGCTTGGCTTGGAAAAGAAACTAGAACTGATTCCTTGTTAGGAAGCTTATCTTTGGGGTTCCAAGGCAGGTGTTATGTTTAAAAAGATCATCGACTAAATTATCATTACTATTCAGAACCCTGTATGGACCACAGATTTCTACTGATCCTACGATACTATGAACGCCTGTGCATGTCACAGCTGTCGTACCAATGACATAAACACATAGAGAACCTTAGAAATCTGCAGTTAAGTTTTTGTTTTGTTTTTTCATTATATATCAAATAAAGAACTCTGTCCAGATATCAAGACAGCGAATTAAGTAGGAGAAAACATTCAGCTTAGTCAACACAGGTGGAGAATATTCTTGTTCAGAGATCAGGAATATTTGGAGGCACCTCTGGTTTAAGCAGATATGAGGAATGAAAGAGTTTGTGTCCCCTAGGGGTTCAGAATGGAGCTGAGGGCCAAGGATCCAGTGGTGACCAAGGCTGTGGATGATGTGGGACTCTTCCTCTCTGAACTGCCTAGAGAGACTCCATCACCTGAACTGAGAGGTAACGCACAAATATCTGAACAAAAATTAGTACATAGAGTTACTTGACTTTGTTTATTTACTTATACATTTAAATATAATGGGAATTAGATCTATACTGTTCTTTTACATAACATTTTATTATTCAATTCATCCTTTCAAAGTATTTTTTAAGTTAAGTTAATTACTTAATTGTGCAATTTACAATTTTAATGTATATTTATTAATACAAATAGAATAGGAATATTTGCATCATATATTAAATTAATAAATAAATAAATGTTACATTTGCTCATTTCATGGGACATTTTCCATGACATATTTTGGGCCTTCATGGATCACATTGCAATGATTGTTTAAAGTATTTCACGGCCCCATTACTCTGTGTCCAACGACCCTCCAGGGGTCCCTACTCCTACTTAGGGAATCACTGGTGTACTGTACCTTAGAAATTTTTAACATTTAATTTCTGCATTTTGTCCTGTTATAACCACAAGCATGAATTGATTATTTTCATATCAGCTAAAAAAAGGAAACCATGTAAAAGGAAAGGGGAAAAAACTCACAACCTTTTAGAGAAGGGGTTCCCAAACATTTTAACCTGTAAAAATACATATATTAACTTAATTACTTACTTAATTACTCTCCATATCTATTATACATTAAAGGTAAGTAACTGTAATTATATATTCAATGTTGTTTTATTATTTTTTTAAATATCCATTTTGTTTAGTTTTTTTTTTTTTTTTTACAAACAAATGGTATATATAATATTTGAATCGCGCTTTAGCTAAATAAATTAATAAATAATGTTTACTTAATTTCAAGTTTTTTCAATTTGCCCATTTATGCTTAACCAGCAGTCAGATAAAAAAAAGATGTAAAAAAAGATGTAAAAAAAGATGTAAAATAACAAAAAACTCGTAGAATACAAAATAAATAATAAAAATAAAGATGCAATACTACTGCAATACATTTCTAATAATATAATTTTATTGTTTTATTGTATTTTTTTTAAATTACATGTATTAATGAATTTCTTTTATTTAAGATTTATTCGTCCATATTTTGAATTAATAGCAATAAAATATTGCGATTTTTGACAGAATTGTTTTTGTCTTACTCCCCTAGTGATTTTGACTTCCAATGACAAATAGAACCGTTACAAATGGAACAAAAACAAGATGTAAAACATATTAATAAAATAAAAGTAGTAAAATATTAATGAGCCAAAAGAGAGTCCTAATTAAATCAATAATTTATAGACCAGTAAAGTCAGACTTGATTTAATGTACTGTTTCCTTTCTTGTTAAACGACCATAAGCTAAAGACATTATAAACAAAGAACATAAGGGAGTCCACCTCATCAAAGTTTTATGGGGTGAATTTGTTTCTTTGATGTTAAAACTCTGGATAATCTTCAACAATTATGTCTGACAAAAAGCCAAAACAGACAACAAAAAAAGAGTTCACCACTCGTAGCTGTCAAACATAAACTTAATTTAGTGAGTTTGACATAAAGGAGAGTAAGAAGTGTCTCTACGTCTCTTATGGCTCAGAAATAAAAAAATGTGAATCCTAGTAACAGCCTGGTAACAACTGCTTCTGGAAGTCCACACAGAGACGCAGGGACGGATGCTTTACCTGTAGCTCTGTTTGCACCATGGCAGCAGCCTGGGTTACACATCCAGCCAAGCTTAAAGCATGGTCCATTAAATCCTTAAAACGCCAACTCAGGCATGTTCAGAGAGCGCTGAAAGAACAGGGGGATTCCAGTGTATGAAGGCGACCACTTCCCTTTCAGATGGGGGGCTGCTCTATCACCCCCATGTGGTTCTCTGAGCTGGGTGACACTTAAAAAGGACAAACTTCAACAGACAGGGTGTGAATACCTTCCTGAGAAGCCTATTTCCTCAAACTACAACAGAATCTGATCTATTTTATTGAGGTATTATAAGAGAGACGACATCATGAAGATCAAGAGACGCAGAAGATGGGTCGGATAAGAATAAGTTCTAAAACTCACCTTTAAACGCCTCTCGGAGCTCCGTTCCATCCGTCATCTGAAGGAGATAGATTAAGGCATAACTTGACTTTAAAAGATTTGGCCGTCCACCAAAAACTGATAGACCATTAATCATCAGCCGAGCCGCAGATATTCACAGCTCAGGTCGTAGAGTGAGTTCACAGGACAACTGTTTCTCCTGCACTCAATAAATCTTTGGCAAGAAGGCAGCTGTTAGAGGGGGAAAAAGTCATTAGAAGTCGGTTTGTAGTTTATTACGAGGAATTAAGTGAAAGTCTAAGTTGTTGGCCTACCATGGGAGTACTAGGAGTTCCCGAAAACTAAAAACACAAGGGTGAGACATGGTGGTGATGGAATCATGCTTTTTTTACCTTGCTAACTCCTCATGGGGCTCTAAACCTGCAGAAGTACAAAATGATGCACGCTGACTACCTGATGAGATAGTCCACTCCTCCCCCCTCCTCATTTTTTCCCTTCCTAAAAAATGAGGAAGGGGAAGGGTCAGTGGATAGCACCGGGGTTAAGCCTTTTCATCCAGCGTCATCAATAGAAAGAGAAAAACACAGGCAGGGACGATATAGCCGATATAATAAATGACGTGGATAGTTTTTATTTATCGTGCGATTAATTGATTTATTGATTATCGAGACAGGCCTAGTGATCCTAACACCCAGTCAGAACTAGCCGATTTAAGTGAAAGACCTATCTGGTGTCATGTTGGTCTAGTTAAAGTCAAGAGATAATTCCATTTAAAAATCCATGGCAAGATGTAAAAACAATCGACGAGCTTAAGCTACTCTGTAGATGCACAAATGAATGGGACTAGACATTTTGATTGCATTTGGGCAAAATGTCGTAAAGTTCAACTCTTTGGCGAGGAACTAAAACAAGCATGGATTGTAAATGTGACACAATAAATTCGAGTTTTTTTCTTATTTATTTATTTTACTGGGCCTCATTTGTCTTAAACATCAGATATCAGCCCAGAGGAGCGCGCTCAGAACGTGGGGCGGGTGTTGCGCAAAGAAGCGGATGACGTGTTGAGCAAGTGGGACCGACTGAACGCCGACTCTGCGGACTGGCAGAGGAGGCTGGAGTTGGCCTTGAAAAGACTGGCGGAGCTGCAGGAAGCGGAAAATCAGCTGGATACACAGCTGAGGCAGGCAGAGATGGTGAAGGAGGCCTGGGAACCTGTAGGAGAACTGCTGATTGACTCCTTACCCGAACACATCGACAGAGTCAAGGTCAAAACCTCCTCCTCACTGCTAACGTCTTGGTTTCAGCATGTATCTCTAGATATTTATTGTTTTGTTTTTTTGGTTAAGGAGTTCCAGGAAGAGTTAAATTTGATAAAGGAGGATGTCACACATATGAACCAGTTGGCGGCCACGTTCGATCCATCCGACATCCAGCTCTCAACTAGCAACCTGGAACGCATCGAAGACCTCAACATGCGCTGGAAAAGGCTACAGGTAGGCATTTAGACACAGGAAACAAAAAAAAAAGATTTAAAAGAAGAATAAAAAATCACATTTAGTTAACCCTTATGAAACCTCTACTTAGAATTAGGCAATTTGTTGCTAAAATATGTATCCTAAAGTAGGATACAGGATATAATGAAGAATTTGAAGCTTACACATTTGTAGAATAATAGCCTGAATGCCTTCCATCAAAATGTTAAGTTGTCTCTTTCGTGAGGGTGGAACTGTAAATACATTTAATGAGGATATTGAAGTAAACTTTTTACTCTAGGCTGGCTAATTCAGACATGCTGAAGTTCACCAAGATCCTTAGGACTATAAAATGTCTAATTCTGCTGCAATACTTTAAGCTAAACAAGGGAGCCAAAAGTGAGAGATGTCAGTGGTGACCCTGACTTCATAGGAATAAGGATGCAGACCGATACAGGCAACTTTAAGATTTAACTATATGAATAATTAGCAAAAGTTTAAAGCGAAAAAGGCCTCTGGTTGACTCTTTATTTACAATATCTAATGTGAATTTATTAAAAGGAGACTCCGCTTTGTTGAGGATGGAGGTCTCTGACTGTTGGTCTTGTTAGCAAGATTGAATTTACTGTCTTAAGGGCTGGTTATAATCCCGCAGCAGTGTATCGCAGTGAGCATGTCGCAGGTATGACACAGACATTTAAGATTTATGCTCAATGTTGAAGCGTGGTCTGCGCTATGTTATTCCACGCCACAACGCAAGAGAGACAATCACGAACTAGCTGCGGGTCTAGATAGGACTGAGGCGGCGACGAAGTGGGTACAAGTTTATGAGACAAGGGAGGGACATAAGGGCCAAAAAGAGCTGGGATCCAGGTGGAAAAAGGGTCCCAGCATTCTCGCACACCTTGCTCTTCTAGTTGGTCCAACTTCACAAGTCGTTTTCCGCAATGGCGGTCATACAAACAAAACAAGCCGGTACGGTACCAAACAGGAGATGTGTAGAGTGGATGTAGATTTGACCAATCAGAGGCCTCCTGTTTGCCGTCACCTACAATTCAGCAGAGCTGGATTCAAACTTAATATTTCTTCAGTGATAGTTTTTCAATCAGAAGACCAAATCAGAATTAACTGCTAAATATTTATTCTTGAAAAAGCCAACAAAAATGGCCTATTTATTGCTTCTTGCTAAACATGCCTGAAGATGTTGGATCCAACATCTGGTAAACTCAGCTAAGGATCCAGAGTTTCATATCTGAACCAATATTGTCCCAAGTTATTTGTTGAAAACAATCAAAGAACAAAGATGATAAAAATTGTAATTATTCAAGTTAAAATCCCACACTAATGTTGCCTTGAACACTACTAGACTTACTTACCTGAGGATGAAGATGATGGTCATTGTTGCATCAGTAAATATTTGAGACATTTTTTCTCCCTGGCTCCAGGCGACAAGTCGCTAACAGATTCAGACAGGTTTGCAGACGCCAACTGCAGGCTCCACATGTCCATCACAAATACCAGGCAAGCATAATCTGTTATTTAAAGCAGCCATGCTTCCTTGACTCCTTCAGTGGCGTCATTAAGCTTGGTTTGGTTGAATTTGGTTTGTACCTATAAATGCCCCGAATTTGATACCAATTACTGTAAATTTGTGACCAAAATAATTAATAATGTTCAATTCAACTATTAGTAGATGTTACATTTACAAACAAAACCTTACATTTGCTGGATGAATGGGATATGTTTTGTCACATTGCTATATGGTGTACCTGCTAAATTACAGTAAGTTGCTCGTCTGCGACGATTAAAAGGTGCTGGTTTCAGAAAGATGAGATGCTGGTGTTCAGAGGGAGAACAGCCTGCGCTTCTGTCAGCGACAATAACCACCACAGTTGGTGTTCTGGAAGTCAAACGGTGATCGTAACTGGATATGACGGATGGAGCCAATCACGGCTGGGTGAAATGAACTCCTGGATGCAACATCAGTGAAAGGACCAGAAGGCCGTTCTTTGTGAAGTTGGGACCCGAGCAGATGCCTGGCACTCAGGCAAACATCTGCCTTTCTTTAGCCATGAACAAAAGTTCATTACAGTTGTTGCCAACAATAAACCAAGCTGTTTCTTTGCTCAATTGTGGCCATAGGTTGCAACACTATGTCCAAAAAGAGATTACACAATCAGAAGGAAATATGGATCGCTACAAAAGAGAGGCAAACATACTTGAGCTGCAGTAGCTAGAGGAACTTTAGGCTTTTAATTTTCCCTTTCTAGTCTACCAAGGTGGAAATAAAGCAGGTACCTGATAACTCTTGCATCCTTAGCAGCTTAGAAAAGGTTTTTTTGAAAGGATCCCTGGGGAACAGTTAGAATCTCCACCTTGTTTCAAGAAATTATAATTCTTGAAAATATTTAGATTTGACTAAAAAATATGGAACTTTTGGAAAAATTAAATTATGAATTTTTTTATAACTCTAAAGATACATTCACATCGAAGGCAAATTCTGCAGCTGGAGCGAATGATTCCTGTGTTGTTTTTGGTATTTCTATTTTGAGGGCGGATCTATGGAGAAAGCCGAAGGTGGCGAATGGTGCGTTTTCTGCAAAATTAGATCCATCCGTGTCTGAGAAGCAGTCCCTCTTTTTTTAGGTTCTGTTGCACAGACTAGATGTGGGCGGGACCTACAATTAAGGAAGCTGCAGAGACGATATTTTTTAAATCAAAATAGAAAATGGAGAAAATAATCTTGACAAAGGGAATGCAGGGGATGTGTTCATGATGTTTGTAGGTGGCTTTTAAAAAGCTGTTTTAGCTCCAGTGGGGGGCACAGTTGGCCGCTTCGTCTTGGTTATGGTGCTCTCTCTGGCAGTGTTCTTGTGTTTTTATCTCCTGAGGCTCTTGCCTGAGCTCCAGAACGCCATCTCACCTAACCTTTCTGATTCATTTGGGTGATTTGTCTCCCATCCTGGGTCAGCAGGAACCCGAACAGAGTCGCTGATTGGCGGAAACAGCTGAAAGTCACCGTCATCCAGACTTAGCTGCTCAATACTGGTTCCATCTTTGGGAATCCGGTGAACTCCGGAAAGTAAAACTAAAAGAAGCTCTACGAATCGCTCTGTAAAATCCCTGTCCACCAGTTGAGGTGAAACCAAGGACAAGTAGACTTGATGACGTTGGAGCCTTTCACTCGCTGTGTGAATTAAGCTGCAATACCATAGTATCTTTTAAGGCAGATGATGTATGCTACAAACATGACTGTTTAAATAACAGACATGCTGTCTTTTAACATGTATGTTACAAACAACATAGCTGTTAGCATAATGCTATAAACTTGCTGTCCTTTAACATGTCTGCTACAACAGGCAGTCTGTTAGCATGCATGGTTCAAACATGGTAACTATTAACATAATGCTCTAACCATGCCGACTATTAACATGTATTATACAAAAATGCTGACAGTAGAAACATGTGGTCTGTTATTACAAATGCTGCAAACATTCTATATG